GTTATAGGACTTAAAATATTAAATAACGACTCTAAAATGTCTCCAGAAACAAAACTTGAGACTGTCAATAGTGACCGAGTTTCTTGCGCTGCACTAGCCCATTTATTGTCCCGAAGCAGTGATAGGGTTAATACTGGGACGTGTAAAACTGCTTTTTAAAAGCCTACTTGCAAAAATAAAATGAGTTTTTTTTTTACATTTAGTTACTGTTTACCCAAAAAGTGACTTACAAAATTTTAATTATACAAGTATCTACAATAAAACCCAGTAATAAACATTATCTTAAAAAGTTTATTCAGTTTATTAATGCTTGCACCTCATTAGTGGAAACTTCATTGATAGCTGTGATTTTTAATTGAATTTAACGAAGAAACAAGTATTAAGCTCATAACAGCATTCCTCTATATTTTTTTTATTCATTATGATCAAATCAAATCATTGTCAATAAGCTTCCAAAGAGAACTTTTACACGTTTCAACCCTACCACTGCTACTGCTTCGGAACAGTAATACATAATATGGGCTAATGTTGAGAAGAATCAGTGCAAGAAAGTCAGACACTATTGTCATGGAATCTACAGGACGTCCACTGCTGAACATAGGTATCTCCTATTGATTTCCACATCGCCCGGTTGGTGGCGGCCTGTATCCAGCTTATAGATAGCAGGAAGATCACCTAGTCATTATTTATTTTAAACTAGCTTTCCGCCCGCGGCTTCGCCCGCGTGAAATTTTGTCTATTACAGAAAACCTTTATCGCGTGCGTCCCTGTTTCAAATACCGGAATAAAAACTATCCAATGTCGTTTCCCGGGACTCAAACTATCTCTATCCAAATTTCATCAAAATCGGTTCAGTGGTTTAGGCGTCAAAGCAAGACAGACAGACAGAGTTACTTTCGCATTTATAATATTAGTATAGAAGTATAGACATCTCTGTAGTCTGTACTTTCAATGCCTATGGATATCATAGTGTCTCGATTACAAACTTCTTCTTTTTCCCCTACATTTTTCTCCATTATACCGGTAATTTTTTCACTTACAGCGTGGTTATACAGTCGACAGTAATACATCAGGCTATAAGCATTTTTGTTGCAAATTAGCACCTATTTCGATGATGTTAAGGTATTAGTATGTTTACCTTGACGTGCTGTCGCTGTACATCGATCCTTGACCCTTGAATCGTTATTTCTCAGTCTCTCATTGTTCCAACGCTTCAAAAATAAAATAGGTACGTACGTATGTCGATGACTTCTCATTGAAAAATTGTGAGAAATATTTGATAAGAAATTAGTAATTTAACAAGGTTAACTTGCGAAATGTATATTTTCGAAGCATCATTTTGAAATCTTTTATGAGTTTATTAGTTTTGTTTTGTAGATAACATAAAAATTATTTCACAAGATTCACTACGTTTTTGAGTTGTCCAAAATTTGAGCTTATCTTCTTCTTTTCCTGGCCCTTTACCATTTTATTTGGTATTGGCCCTTCGTATCATTCAAATTCATTCAAAATTTAAGCCTATGATTGATTGGATTAAATTAAAACAATCATAAACATTTCACTAATTTATGGTTTTTATTATTATTTTTTTACTCTTTTTGATAAATAGCGCTGCAAAAAGGCACCCACTGAAAATCAGTGTCTTGGCAGTCACACTGTCAAGATATTACTGAGTGGGTGACCTTTTTTGGCAACTTAGTAATATTTTTTTTTATGTAATGTCTTTATTGCCTGAATCTGTGGTTGTCAACATAAAATTATGTTCTTTCTTTCTTTCACTAAGTTCAAGATTGGTTCAAAATTTAAGCGTATCTTCTTCTTTCTTTTTTGCCTTGCCCTTTCCTATTTTATTCAGAGTTGGCCCTCCGTATTCCATTCAAAATTCAAGCCCATGATTGGTTAAATTAAAACAATCTTAAGCAATCCTAAGGTGTATAATTGTATAAGGCTAAATATTTGTTTTCAATTTTAGTCCTTATCGAATGAATAGTTTTGCTTCAGACATTGACAGGCAGAGCCTTGATTCATGCCCTCTTTTATAGTTTTACAACATAGACTATGAGTTTGTAAAAGAACTCGATATACGAATAGAACCAGATTGTAGGTATGTTTGTCTTCTGAGATATAAGAAGCGTCGTAGAGGCGATCCGTCTTTACGTAGAGACAGCAACTTCCTGGGGACAGGGTTGATCCATTAATGATTTTATATTTGTAGAAAGTAGAGAGCTTATTGGTGGTAGCTTTCTTTCATCTTGTGGATAACAACTGACGTTATAACCTTTATAACTCACAGTTCATATGAATCTATCAAGTCGTTTAGTAATTACACCTCTTGTCTTATTTTGTATTATTTCACCTGACATAAAACCTGTCCAATTTGTACGTTGTCAAAGGTGTTACTTGATGCAGGCAATGGTACTCATAAAGTTTGACATTTAAAGCACAGTATATATTATGATTTATCTACTGTGTTTAAAGTGTTGTGACCACCCTGGTCTCCCACATTATTACGTGATCGTACCAGAAATTTTTATTTTTATTTAATTATTTAAACTTTAGCACACATAGAAACAATGCACTGTGGCGGACTTAATGCCGGATGGCATTCTCTGCCAGTCAACCACGGGTCATGCAGAAAGAGTAAGGCGGTGCAAAAAAATTATATTTAGAATAATATACCTAGTTACTTACATAAGATTACATACAATAAATGACATAATATAAATAAATATAATAGACATACACATAAATACATAAACATAATAGTATTATAGATGTACACATCACTCATGTCTGAGATAACAAGATGATGAAGAAAAAAGGTCATTCCTTGAAATGTATGCGCAGAGCCTTAAAAAGCAGAGAAATAAGGAGAGCCTTTCGGTTTAGCAAGCTGAAGTGGCAACGAGCAGGGCACATAGTACTCAGAACTGACGGCCTACGGCGCAGCAAGGTTCTGGAGTGTAGGCCACGTAACGAAACAATTTATTATCCAGCCACAAAAATGCCCAAGTCAGCGTTTCATCTAAAAAGCGTATAAATCTTAAATTGTGGTCTTCTTCTTCCTCGGTCCCTCACTGATGAGGATCGCGACCACATAAATAATAGTGTTCCTCCACAGACTGCGGTCATAATCTGTGTGGACCGCACATGTATATTGTGGTAGACGTTTCAAAATGTATTATTTTCGTTGTAGTTACAAGCATCTGTGCAAACAGTCGCTCGTGCCCAAACACTGAGCCAGGCTGTTAAACCCTAAGCTGGCGTGTTGTTATGTAAGCTGCTGCTGCTGGCGAACATTTTGCACCTCAAAATTATTAATTTTAAGTACAAACACCGTAATAAAGTTTAAAAAGGTTGTTTAGATTTTTGTAAATTATAAATAACTTGAAAAAATGGAACTGCCTAAGGCGGGATTCGAATCCACGACCTTTCGTTTGCCGGGCGACTGTTCTTCCATCTCAGCTACTTATGCCCGTTTTCACCATCAATCCCTAATTTTTAAGTGACCCCTATTAAACAAAATTCCTGTTATTTGTTACCATAGGGATCACTTAAACATTAGGGATTGATGGTAAAAACGGGCATTAGACACTGGTTTTATCATTTTGTCCAGACGTATTTGACCGTTACAAAACTTGAAAAATGTCATCATCAACGTCTTCACAAGGCACAAATCGAATTATAATTCCAACTATTGATTAATTAATTAATTAACTTTTCTATGATGCATAAAACATTTATGACTAATGACTAAATTACAGTGAATAGGACTATTTAGAGCCATCTCACTCATCGTGTGCATACTAAATTTTTGTCATGTTCCTACAGTTGAGATAAAACCTTTTACCTGATGATTCTAATTTTTCTTCTTCTTCGTCGCTACACTTTTGGCAGAGCGGTCGTGGTCGTTACACCTAGTTTGGTGGTAAACTTCACAATCTGTCGCAATTGTTCCTCTTTTTTTTTAATGATTAGCAATTTGTATTGCCCAAATTACTAATAGTCCCATTAGCCTCGTGGTAAGCTAAATAAGCTTGTGTTACAAGTGGGCTCACCACAATAATCGAGCGGCGGTGGGATTCGAACCCGCGTTCCTCGGATCTCGAGTCGGCCAGTCCGACCACTTCACCGTTGGGCTATCGTGTATTACATTATTCCTTAATTGATCTGTGGTTTTGTGAAAATTTAGCTATCCACTAATGCTTTATTTATATTAAATTCGCATTTTAACTTCGCAAAATTATACTCACCTGAGCAAACCGACACTCGTGCTATCAAGCCCCAAGCTGTGCAAACCGTCTGGCGGCCTCTGCCAATATGTGGACAGCCAAAATGTACATAGTTATCAACAAGTGTATAAACTTTCACACCTTTTAAATAAGAAACAATAATACTTATAAGATTATAAAGTAAAAACAAGTTGTTTGGAAAATAAAAATATCCTTCAGATTGTACACAGCGCCATCTGAACTAACTGATATAAATAGCTATACTTAGGCTGGATAGCACCATCTTACTTACTTTAACATACGTCAAAAGTCTGTCAAACTCCATGCAAAAAACACCGGTTATCGATAAAGTTACGGTTTAAGTTAGGTTGTACAACTCAGCCGAAAGTTTTAAAATTTGAGCGTTATGAAGCTACTATATCGGCTACGAATAAGCTACTATGTATTTACCTTACTTTACTGAAGTTTCCATCTAAACTGTGCAACTCTGACAAGTGAAGCTACAGAACTTAAAGCGATAGCAAATCCAACTTCAGTTAGATAAGCCTGTCTCTATTCACTTAATATTGTTAAATGTAGAGCGGTTAAGTTAATGTTTAACAGAGAGAGCAAGAAAAATTATTTTAAGGTTCAATATTAATTAAAGCTTAATAAGAGGACAAAAGAGATCGGGCAAAATGTATGGGACGTGTAACCAATTTCCTCAGATTTTACTTAAGTGGGCGTGTAAATTTCAGTTTCATTTCAAAAAATGCTTTCTTGTTACAGTCGGAAGACCGCTTCGCTGGCTACAAAGGTGTCCGAGATATCACTATCAAAAAGGTAAAACTTATTTTATTGCTGATACGAAACAACAATTTATTACCGTATTCTGGGTTTCTATAGGCACAACTGCAATCTGATAGACCATGATTTTTAAATTAAAAAATATGTTGCATTCTTTGTCAGTATCTCGATCATACCACAATTTTTATGTAATTTCTTTTCATTATCTAGGTACTTGTATTTCAAAGTAGGTAGTACGAGTAGTTTCTCTTTTCGGAAATCGTCTAAAAATATCCCTTTTCTAGCAATGTGGCCGCCAGAAATTGTTCTGTAGCTGTATTCTAGTTAATTTGTTGAATGGTCGGCCGTAGTGGTACTCGCGCGCAGTAAAATATTTAACTCTGAATGATTGAGTCTGATGTCGAATCAGCGGTGCACGGTAAAGCAAAAACTGGTTTTTGTGACATCGTCAATGGTCATTATTAATGTTTGGAAATACTATAGTAACTTGTTTTAAATAAAATGAAAATAAATAAACAACATTAAAAAACATCTGTACTTATTTCTGTTGGTGCCTAATTACTAAACGAACAAAATGTCGCTGTTCCAGGGTCCCTCAGGGCTCGGCATCATGATCATCGAGGGGAGGCACACGGAGGCAGGGAGGGGCATATTCGTCTCCGACCTTCAAGAGGGCAGTGCTGCAGAACAGGTGCAGAAATATTCTAGCAAATCATAATGATTTAAGTTACTTTACTCCCCAACAATTCCACACACGCGCGAAGACAAACAAGTTGACAATTCATAATTATCTAAGTTCCTCTGTGGTCTAGTGGTAAGACCACCTGCTTCAGACGCAGAGGTCCCGGGTTCGATTCCCAGTGGGGGCAAATTTTTCTGTTCGGTTTGGTTGGTGGTAGGGCTTGTTCTAAGTCCGCCTAGCTACCACCATCTTACATAAGTCTGTCGCCATAACAACAATGTTAACAGCATTATTGTGTTCCGGCAGTTAGATGTAAGATAGCCAGTTCCTCCGTGGTTGAGGATTCCGGGTGAAGCTCGCTTCCACCTTCGGCCTGATCGTCACTTACTCGTACCATCAGGTGAGATACAGGTCAAGAGCTTCCTCGTTGTAGATAAATTGGCTCTATTCGGCGATTCAGACTAGATAAACAAATAATAGTAAACCTCATTGATTAAGTTAGTCGCTATCTTATTCACCTGCGCTATCATTTATTAATACTTTTCTAATTGATTACAGGCCGGGTTGCAAATTGGGGACATGATCTTAGCTGTGAATAGAGACTCGTTGCTGAGCTGCAGTTACGATGGGGTAAGTGGACTTTACTTTAAAAGTTATTGCGTGGCAAAAAAGTGTTATAACTCAGGATTTGCAAATGATTTTCCTTTAGTCGAAAGACATCATATCCTGACCTTGAGATTCATGTAAATGTCCCTGCATCTAAAAACCCCTGAGATTGGCTTTTTTACAAAACCACACCCTGTATTTCAAATCAATGAATTCTTCAATATCCTCCAGGCAGCAGCAAAACTGAAGCAAACAGAAGGCGTGGTGGTGCTGACGGTGTGCAGCCCCAACATGAAGGACGACAAGGCTGACGATGGAGGCACTACTCCAGGTCCGAACTATTTACCTTGTTGGATACATAAGGCTACAAAATACATAACGATAAAGTCTCTTCCTTATGTTGAGTTGCACCACCTAACTTTGACCGTAACTATGACGTTAACCGATGTTTTGGTATGGAGTTTGACAGATTTTTTACGTTTGTCAATGTTAAAGTAAGATGGTGCAACCCAGCTTTAGCATCTCAGATTATGATTTGGGAAATAAGTCGCTATAAGTATTTACAACCAGTAGCCTTATTCACGTAAAAAACTTCAACGACAACAACACACTGAGTTGCGATCCTATCGAGTAATCGTTCAATCAAAAGTGACCCTTGTGAATACGGATTTAGAACTGTTTTTTCAATGGGACGACTTTCTGAACGTCGTCAGCGAGGTCTTGACTGTCAAAATACGTGAATTAGGCCACTGGTCGAGTAAACTGCGCACTGTCACATCGCTGCTTTGGTACTGACGGGACGAGCGCGGGAAGTTGTGCGAGGGAGAGTCGCATTCCAGCGAGGTGCGCAGTTCACTTGACCGGGTTGTAAACATTTTCTCCGTGGATTGTTTACCCTATGGCTGTTGCACCACCTAACTTTGACCGTAACTATAACGATAACCGGTGTTTTTGTATGGAGTTTGACAGATTTTTGACGCTTGTCAAAGTTAAAGTAAGATGGTGCAACCCAGCCTAAGAGGCATATTTTTGAAGCATTAGAATATTTTAGGGCTGACAATGTTACAGTTCTAATTCCGAAATCACTTCGGCTTGGCGTTTTTTCGATGTAGCTACTTCGCTTCCTGAACCGATTTTGAAATTGATACTGTCGCGAATGTTAATCGCGACTTTTGCGATTGCGCATGCCGATTGCACTGACTCTTTGAAGTATGTAATTGTACAATGAAAGAATACTATTGAATAGTTCACAGCAAGGACTTTTTGATTGCCTATATTTTTATTTTGCCTTGGTTTTGTTTGTTCAGCGGGAGGCAGCGCGACGTCGGGCCCCGCAAGCCGGAACCAAACCCCGGACCCCGGCAAAGCGGCTTCCAGACCAGTCACTCCTCGGCCCGCACCCTCTCCTGTGAAAGGTAGGTCTTACCAGTTGTGTATCAATAAGAAACAGTCATCACTACACCTTAATAACATTTTTGTTGTAAAATATCATTGTAGTAAGATTCTGATTCGAATTGACATCAGATCAATCAGAGAGATCAGTTCCTTTCTGTAGGGCTGCGGAAAATGTCTGTATACCAGGATCGTAGAAACCAGTTGTAATGAGGATCAGTACTGTTGTAGAAAATTCAATAAAACTAGTATCTACGTTAATCTTTAAGACATAAGAAAGATATATCTTTTTGAATTATCCAAATCGGACCATTACTTACGAAGATATTAAGTAATAAACATAGGCCGTTTTTGCCGCTAAACGTCAACGTACGCAGGTCCGCGTGACGTCACTATATCCGAATCGAGCGCAGCCGGCGTACTATTGGGATGGAAAATATTTCAAGTCATACCCAGTTTCTGGCATTTCTGGCATGGGGGGTGTCATACCCAGCTTCTGGCCGAAGGGGAGTCATATCCAGCTTATGCTTATGGCCTGGGGGGAGGGGCAAGCCTTACCCAGCTTCTGGCCTGGGGAGNACGGAGACGTAAGTAAGTAAATAAGTAAGGTGACTTTTTTTTCATAATATTCTTAACAAATGTAACTTTTTCATTTTTTCAATTTTTATGATGACTATCCTACCTTAATTAGGTAATACGTTATTTTATAGCATGTTTTAATTTTCTTAAATCATCTTTTAAAATTATCTTTTTCCCTGACAAATACCTAGTTTCTTCAAATATGAGAAATGATAAAAAGCAACATTACTTTACCCGATGTGGGTAGATGTCATCATTTTATATGTACAAATCACATAAATGTTACACTCTAAAATAGTTTTATTACATATTTTTGATGATTTTTTATTTCTTTCGTTTGTTCCAAACGCACATACTTAAATACAATAAGAAACATCTAATAAATTTACCTTTTCAGTTATTTTAATATCCTCTCTTTGTAGATTTTTAAAATATTTGTTTAGATAATCTAAGGGCGTAAAGGACAAATTATTTAGACTTTGGTGTGAAATGTTAGGTTATACACCCAAAAATGTGTGTTTACTTGTTCTTTACTACCATAGTAACTGTACTAAAAAATCAAATGTTATTTACATCCCAATTTTCACGTTAAATTCTGTTTAGCTTATCAAAAATGATGGGCCGTAAAGGCACTTTTTTTGGGATTTTCGACAAACTAAATATACAGATCGATAGAGAATGAAATTCTGAGTAAAACTGTATAAATAACTCATTTTCGGTATTTTGTCCTTTACGACCTTTGAGCCCAGAGGTATCGATATACGTCTTTATAAGTCATAGTATAGTGGATATGATTCTATCAAATCGCTTAAGTATTTACACCTTTTGCATTATATGCCTTACTGAAAACCTATCCGATTAGTACGCAAGCCTCGATGTAACTTGATGCATCTATGGTATTTATAAAGTCGCCACCGGTCTCTCACATTATTAAGAACGGGTCCCTCATATTATTTCGAGATCGAATCAGAGATAAGGAGATCGGTAAACGACCTAAAGTCGCTGACATAGCCCCACGGATTAGCAAGCTGATGCGGCAATGGGCAGGGCACATAGTACGCAGAACTGACGGCCGATGAGGCAGCAAGGTTCTGTACTAGAGACCACGTACCGGAAAGCGCAGCGTAATAGGACGTCCACCCATAAGGTGGACCGACGACCTCATATAGGTAGCAGGAAGGCGCTGGCGCTGGGTGCAGGCCGCCAAACGGCCATTGTGGTTATCATTGGGTACTGAAAACCATTATGCAGTGACAAAAATGACCAAGTCAATGCTTCGTCTGAAAAGCGTTGTGTATAAATCTTATATTGTGGTCTTCTTCTTCTTCCTTGGTTCTGATCAGGATCGCGAATATTATAGTGTTCCTTCACAGATTGCAGTCATAATCTGTGTGAACCGCACTATGTATATTGTGGTAGACGGTTCAAAATGTATTATTTTCGTTGTAGTTCCAAGCACCTGTGCAAACAGTCGCTCGTGCCCAAACACTGAGCCAGGCTGTTAAACCCTAAGCTGGCGTGTTGTTCTGTAAGATACTGCTAAATGCTGGCGAACATTTTGCACCTCAAAATTATTAATTTTAAGTACAAACATCTTAATGAAGTTTAAAAAGGGTGTTTGGATTTTTTTAAATTATAAATTACTTGAAGAAATGAAACTGCCTAAGGCGGGAGTCGAACCCACGACCATTCGTTTGCCGGGCGAATGTTGTTCCATCTCAGCTACTTATGCCCGTTTTCACCATCAATTCCTAATTTTTAAGTGACCCCTATTAAACAAAATTCCTGTTTTTTGTTACCATAGGGATCACTTAAAAATTAGGGATTGATGGTGAAAACGGGCATTAGACACTGGTTTTATCATATTGTCCAGACGTATTTGACCGTTACAAAACTTGAAAAATGTCATCATCAACGTCTTCACAAGGCACAAATCGAATTATAATTCCAACTATTGATTAATTAAATTATTAACTATTCCATGATGCATTAAACATTTATGACTATGGATGGCTAAATTATAGTAAATAGGACTATTTAGAGCCATCTCACTCATCGTGTGCATACTAAATTTTTACTTAGAGAGGGTCATGTTCCTACAGTTGAGAAATCTTAATTACCTGATGATTCTAATTCTTCTTCTTCCTCGCTACACTTTTGGCAGAGCGGTCGTGGTCGTTACACCTAGTTTGGTGGTAAACTTCACAATCTGTCGCCATTGTTCCTCAATTTTTTTAAAAATTATTAGCAATTTGTATTGCCCAAATTACTAATAGTCCCATTAGCCTCGTGGTAAGCTAAATAAGCTTGTGTTACGAGTGGGCTCACCACAATAGTCGAGCGGCGGTGGGATTCGGACCCGCGTTCCTCGGATCTCGAGTCGGCCAGTCAGACCACTTCACCGTTGGGCTATCGTGTATTACATTATTCCTTAATTGATCTGTGGTTTTGTGGAAATTTAGCTATCCACTGATGCTTTATTTATATTAAATTCGCATTTCAACTTCGTAAAATTGTATCCACCTGAGCAAACCGACACTCGTGCTATCAAGCCCCAAGCTGTGCAAACCGTCTGGCGGCCTCTGCCAATATGTGGACAGCCAAAATGTACATAGTTATCAACAAGTGTATAAACTTTCACACCTTTTAAATAAGAAACAATAATACTTATAAGATTATAAAGTAAAAACAAGTTGTTTGGAAAATAAAAATATCCTTCAGATTGTACCTACACAGCGCCATCTGAACTAACTGATATAAATAGGTATACTTAGGCCCAGTTTTTTTATTCGTAGTTAAAATTACCGATAGTCAAATTTGACAGATGACAAGTGGTTAAATACCAGAAAAAAATTTTTTCGAACAATGGTTAGCTTGACTTTTAGTACATTTTTACATTTTGTTAATATTTATTTAACCATTCGTAGCAAAATTTAACAATTAGTTATTTTAACTATGAATGAAAAAACTGAGCCTTAGGCTGGATTGCACAATCTTACTTTATCTTTATCACACGTCAAAAATCTGTCAAACTCCATACAAAAAACACCGGTTATCGATAAAGTTACGGTTTAAGTTAGGTTGTACAACTCAGCCGAAAGTTTTAAAATTTCAGCGTTATGAAGCTACTATATCGGCTACGAATAAGCTACTATGTATTACTATTACTTTACTGAAGTTTCCATCTAAACTGGGCAACTCTGACAAGTGAAGCTACAGAACTTAAAGCGATAGCAAATCCAACTTCAGTTAGATAAGCCTGTCTCTATTCACTTATATTGTTAAATGTAGAGCGGTTTCACTCTTAAGTTAATGTTATGTAACAGAGAGAGCAAGAAAAATTATTTTAAGGTTCAATATTAATTAAAGCTTAATAAAAGGACAAAGAGAACGGGCAAACATTTACGGGACGTAACCAATTTCCTCAGATTTTACTTAAGTGGGCGTGTCAATTTCAGTTTCATTTCAAGAATGCTTTCTTGTTACAGTCAGAAGATCGCTTTGCTGGCTACAAAGGTGTCCGAGATATCACTATCAAAAAGGTAAAACTTATTTTATTGCTGATACGAAACAACAATTTATTACCGTATTCTGGGTTTCTATAGGCACAACTGCAACCTGATAGACCATGATTTTTAAAATAAAAAATATGTTGCATTCTTTGTCAGTATCTCTATCTTACCACAATTTTTATGTAATTTCTTTTCATCGTCTAGGTAGGTACTTGTATTTCAACGAGTAGTTTATCTTTTCGGAAATCGTCTAAAAATATCACCTTTTCTAGCAATGTGGCCGCCTGAAATTGTTCTGTAGCTGTACTCTAGTTAATTTGTTGAATGATCGGCCGTAGTGGAACTCGCGCGCAGTAAAATATTTAACTCTGAATGATTGAGTCTGATGTCGAATCAGCGGTGCACGGTAAAACAAAAACTGGTTTTTGTGACATCGTCAATGGTCATTATTAATGTTTGGAAATACTATGTAACTTGTTTTAAATAAAATGAAAATAAATAAACAACACTAAAAACCACCTGTACTTATTTCTGTTGGTGCCTAATTACTAAACGAACAAAATGTCGCTGTTCCAGGGTCCCTCAGGGCTCGGCATCATGATCATCGAGGGGAGGCACACGGAGGCGGGGAGAGGCATCTTCGTCTCCGACCTTCAAGAGGGCAGTGCTGCAGAACAGGTGCTTATTAATATCAAAATACAGACGTATGTGTTGTCCGCATAGGCGTTACGTCGACAAAACACGCTTTGCGTGTGAAGCCGCATAGGCATTACAACGGCAAAACGCGCTTTACGTTTGAGCCCGCACTGCCCTATGGAGAATTAAGAATACGCGTAAAACGTGTGCGGCCGCACAGGCGTTGCGATCGAAAAAACACACCCGTATGTGTTTTCAGCAGGGATCGTGTTAATTTTGTCGTTTGAGATCACACAGAATCGCTAAGATGGCCAATGGGCATCATTGACATCGGACTGCCATTCTAGAAGAAGCTAGTTCGATCCTCGTCGACCGCTAGACTATTTAACAGCGGTAAACTTGTCTTACAAGTTTACCGCTGTTAAATAAAAGAGAAAGAAACAATATGTTGTTAAAACCAAAATGGCAACCGTTTAGCGTGTGTCATGCTCTCAGGTAGAATCCAGATTTATTTATACGATGGTAATCTGCGAAAGCCAATTGGACGCCATAAACATTGGCATTTTAGTTAATAGATAGGTAATAAGATTTTATAGGTAGGTAATCTTTATAAAAATTCGCAATAACAAAAGCTTATAATAGCTAGAGATTTTTGCGTTGCTTCTTCTTAGCACTGTTCATTTGAGAGATGTAAAGAAACTATTTAAAACTTTGGTTGCAGCCATTAATTCGTGTTTTACTTCGGTTTTTTTTCAGGCCGGGTTGCAAATCGGAGACATGATCTTAGCTGTAAATAGAGACTCGTTGCTGAGCTGCAGTTACGATGGGGTAAGTGGACTTTAAAAGTTATAGCGTGGCAAAAAGTGTAATAACTCAGGATTTGCAAATAATTTTCCTTTAGTCGAAAGACATCATATCCTGACCTTCAGATGTAAATGTCCCTGCATCTAAAAACACCTGAGATTTGCTGTTTTACCACACCCTGTATTTCAATTCAATGAATTCTTCCATCTCCTCCAGGCAGCAGCAAAACTGAAGCAAACAGAAGGCGTGGTGGTTCTGACGGTGTGCAGCCCCAACATGAAGGACGACAAGGCTGACGATGGAGGCACTACTCCAGGTCCGAACTATTTACCTTGTTGGGTCCACAAGGCCTGGTTTCCACAATGATAGATGAGAAATTTGTTTGAATAATGCCCGTTTTCACAATCAATCCCTAATTTTTAAGTGTCCCCTATTATGGTAACACATAACGGGCATTTTGTTTTCATAAGGGCCACTTAAAATTAGTGATTGATGGTGAAAACGAGCATGACCCATCAGATTTCTGAACCGAATTCTGAGCGGAATGGTAATTGGAAAAAACGAAATGTGTTTGGTTATTCAAACACGTCATCTCCTCTCCTCTTCGCTTTAGTGGAAGCCAGGCCTAAGGTTTTTAGAGGAACTCTTAGAATCCCAATTGTAATTTGGGAAATAAGTCACTTTAAGACTAAACATTTTCTCCGTGGCTTTTTACCCTAGGATGTATTTTTGAAGCATTGCATTCCAGACCCCCTACTAGACACAGTTAAAACGTGACAGTTCTAATTCTGAAATCACTTCGCTCCAGAATTTCGGCATCATCGGATTTTTTTGTATGTGAAATAGTACTTCGTTCTGTGAAGCGATTTCGAAATTAAGTATCACGAATATTACATTGCATACTAGGTAACTAAGGACATTTGATTCTGACTTGATATTTTCCATTTCTAAAAGAATTGTTCAATGAAAGGTTTTACGAAGTTAAGCATTGTTTTTGTTTTGTTCAGCGGGAGGCAGCGCGACATCAGGCCCTGCAAGCCGGAACCAAACCCCGGACCCCGGCAAAGCGGCTTCCAGACCCGTCACTCCTCGGCCCGCACCCTCTCCTGTGAAAGGTAGGTCTTACCAGTTGTGTATCAATAAGAAACAGTCATCACTACACCTTTAACATTTTTGTTGCAAAATATCATTGTAGTAAGATTCGGATTCGAATTGACATCAGATCAATCAGAGAGATCAGTTCCTTTCTGTAGGGCTGCGTAAAATGTCTGTATACCAGGATCGTAGAAACCAGTTGTTATTGAAATCCCTCGATAAGGCCTTTGTTCATCAGGAAACGTATTTTGATGCAAAATGAAGCCATTCGAATAAGAAACTATTCCCCCACCTCTCGTTCCCGCTGCAACTCTTGTGTGGCTACAGGATCTACGACGCTAGCTTGACTGGCAATATTTTTTTTTTGTTTCTTGTAATTACTTTTAATTGTGTTAAAAATCAATAAACGTTTTTTTTTCAAGTCAACCAGTTTCAAGTTTGTCCCGGGGGAAAGATAAACTGTCATTAGACTCACAACGAAATTAATCTTAAGAACATAGGAGGGGTTCGAAGTTAGGACTCGACTTCTCTCCAGTGTAAAGTAGATGAGAGTGTCAAAATCAAAGGTTTAATAACTTTGATGATTGACTGTGTCAGTTATCCAATTTATTGTATTACTTAATTTTGTGACGTTGTAATATTAATGCTGGATGTAGGCCGCCACCAACTGGCGATTGTGGAAATCATTGGGGGAGGCCTAGTTCAGCAGTGGACGTCCTGTGGCTGAAATGATGAAGATGATGATGATGATGATGATGATGATGATGATGATGATGATGATGATCTAGGGCAAGTAGTCCTTGGCAGCACAAGCTGAGCCACCTCCAGTTGCTTCCACCTTTTTAATATAAGTTTTTTTTTGTAATTCCTTTTTTGTAAAGCAAGCAATAAACGATATTTTTATTTTTTTATTTTTTTATTTTTTATGATGATGATGATGATGATGATGATGATGATGAATTTATACCTTTGTTTATTCATCCATTGTCCACTCTTCCAGCGGAGCCGCCCCCAGACCCGGCGACGGCGCCGATCGCGGCCAACCAGGATACGGTCATCGAGCTAAGCACCGCCAGCGAGCCGCTTGGAATTGTGCTGTTAGGAGGCAGCGATACGCTAATCAACGTACGTAGTGCTTAAGCTTCAACCACACCAACGCGTGCAGATCGCCATAGGGATCATAGGGAAATACAATTTGTGAAACCTTAATTGTAATCTGTTTTGCGTCTTTAATAAATAAATAAATAAATGACAGGTCGCGTGAACTGTCATGGGTCGCGCGACCTGTCATCGGCCTTTGATCGCGCCGGCAACGGCAATGTCAGAGTAAATACAAATGAGTAGGTCATCTTCATAGAAACGGCGCGCACGCACACACTGACAAAATATAGCGGGGATTAGCGGGGAGTTGCGCCGAATTTTGTCAGTGTGTGCGTGCGCGCCGCATACGTATTGGCGCGCTCACATACAAACCGCGCTTGGTGCGTTTCTATGAAGATGACCTACTCATTTGTATTTACTCTGGTAGTGCTAGGGAATTATATTATGTTATCTATCTTAATGCAAATACAATGATACCGCTCTGGGGCCGTAGTGTGTTTAGGTACATCAAAACTCGTCACTAGTGAGCGCGTAAAAAATGACATTAAATGTACGACGGATTGTACAGTATGTACAGCGCCCCTTGTGGAAACTTTCAAGAACTAAAATTTCATATGTATTTTTGTGTATTCATGTACTCACACTAAGCCCTCTGATATAATTTAATTATTGACTTGAGAATAGGTCCGTTTCTTTGTAAGGTCTCCTCAATTTTGTCCTTTTTATCATTCAGGAAAGACTCCTCAAACTCGTCCTTTACTTGAACACTTCTGAATTTAGTTCTAATTACATTTTGAAAAATCTTCTTTGTTTTGTTCTTTTGCAGTTTGAAAAAAGCCTCAATTTTCTTCTAATAACGTTTTGAAAATTAGCTCCTCAATTTTCTTCTAATTACATTTTTGAAAATAATTCTTTTCAATTGTGTTTTTATTACATTTTAAAAAATGTCCTTAAAATTCTAATTACATTTTGAAAAATTCCTGTATTTTTGCCAAAAGATACCTTTTTGGAAAGATGTCTTATATCGATGAGGATCCTTCTCTCCACTTAATTACGGTCTCCCTATATGACACTCCGTCAATCAATTATGGTCTTTATCTCCAGGGAGCAGCAGCAATAATCCTAGACGTATACAAAAACGGTGCAGTAGCAAAGGACGGCCGGCTACGGGTGGGCGACCAGATACGCGACTGCAACGGCGTTACCATCACTAAGGACATGGCGCACGAGCGGCTGTGTCTGACCATCAAGCAGAAGGTGCCCAAGGTATGGAATAAGAAACTTTAGCAGATCTGATCTGGTAACTCTTGAACGTGGCAAAGCCACTGAAGTTTAATAAGAATATTATTGACTAAAATATGATCTTTAAAGAAATCAGCGGGGTTTTTATTGCGACGGCCTATCACTTTCCACTTACTCGGTTTACTTAGGTAACTACTTTTTTAAAAGATTTCGAGACAGAGGTAATAATGACACTGTTAAAGTAAATCATCTACGTCAAATATTATTATTATAAAAAGCTGTGGTTTAATGAATAAAGAAAAATAAAAATGAAATAAAATAAAACCATTACCCTAAGCCGTTATGTTCCGGCAGCTGGAGGTAAGGTACTTAGCCAGTCCTTCTGTGGTTAAGAATTCCGGATGAAGCTCGCTTCCACCTTCGGCCTGATCATCACTTTCCATCTGTAGGTCAATAGCTTCTTCGTTGTGGATAGAAAATTTTTTGCTATTACAAAAATAGCAGTGGCCAGAACGAGAGTTGGGAATCTTGTAAAGCTCTAAAACAAATCGAACATCTAATAAAATAATGTTTGTCTTGTTCCAGATGAAGATGACCATCTATAGACCAGAGCCACTCCAATATACTGAAGTGGAAGTGGAGTTGTCTCGGAAACCAGGCCGCGCGCTCGGGCTTACGTACGTCGCGCCGGTACAAGGCACTGGGGTCTACTTGGGAGATGCTGTAAGTATTCAAAATCAAATTATTTTATTCAGTTTAGACCACAAGTGGCACTTATGAACGTCAAAATATCTTATCTTACTTCTTACTATAATATTATAAAGGCGAAAGTTTGGATGTCTGGATGTCATGATGTCTGCATGAGTCTGGATGTCTGGATGTTTGTTACTCTTTCACGCAAAAACTACTGAACGGATTTTGTTGAAACTTTACAGTATTATTGTTTATAACCCAGATTAACATATATATGTATATATACATAAGTTATAGCCTATATATATAACATATATATATATAGGCTATAACTTATGTCGATATGTGACAAATACATGTCAATAAATAAATATAACGTGCCTAAAAAGCGCCATCTATCATCATTGATTAAAATCTATAGCGCTGGACAAACTACTGTTTTGACGTTCGTGCATATTCATTCGGGGGAAGGCGTGAAACGCCGTCTATCAACATGATATCTAACGGTTGTAAAACGAGGTCCACGCGAACGAAGTCGCGGGCGGCCGCTAGTAGTAAATATAAAAACCGGCCAAGTGCGAGTCGGGCTCGCGCACAAAGGGTTCCGTAGCAGCAAATATAATAAACTTATTATGTCAATTTAATCAACCTATCTCAAAAACTATAAGAGATACTTTGATCAAACCAAAAATCGTTGAAAGAGTTAATTAGCATGCATCACCTCTATTTTTTTTAGAATTTTATACCCCGTAGTTATAAAAATAGAGGGGGGGGGACATACTTTTTACGACTTTGAGAGCTGATATCTCAAAAACCGTTCACTTTAAGAAAAATGTTTTTTAGAAAACTTTATATCATTTTAAAAGACCTTTCCATTGATACCCCACACGGGTATGTACATCGAAAAAAAATTTTCATCCCTCAGTTACATGTATGGGGGGCCCCACCCCCAATTCTTTTTTTTACTATTTAGTGTCATAATTTTGTAGCGGTTCATACAACACATATTCCCATCAAATTTCATCACTGTAGTACTTATAGTTTCCGAGTAAATCGGCTGTGACAGACGGACAGACGGACAGACGGACAGACGGACAGACGGACAGACGGACAGACGGACATGACGAAACTATAAGGGTTCCGTTTTTGCCATTTTGGCTACGGAACCCTAAAAAGGTAGCCCTTATGGGGCACTTCACATGACTTATTATCTTTTGGGCCCTACCAGCGCTTATTTGTAGCACTGACATTTGATGGATCTGAGACGTGGTCGTTTACTATGGGCCTCATAATAAGAAGGCTCAAAGTAACATGCATACATTTTTTTTATTTTGATTTTGATTTTTGAAGTGGGCGGAGCACATAGCTCGTAGAGCTGATGGCCACTGGGGCAGAAAAGTTCTCGAGTGGCGACCACGGGCCGGAAAGCGTAGCGTGGACAAGTCTATTAGGTGGACAGACGATCTGGTGAAGGTCGCTGGAAGAACCTGGATGCAGGACTGGTCGTTATGGAAATCCATGGGGGAGGCCTTTGTCCAGCAGTGGACGTCATTTTTGGCTGAAATGAACGAAGCAGAAGATTGGAGATTGGGAGAATTTATAGCAACTTCTTTGGAATTCAGTGATCAACAGCCAATCACCATTTTAAAGTTTCGTTCGTTTCAGCCAAATGACGCCCACTGCTGGACAAAGGTCTCCCCCAAGGTTTTCCACAATAACGGTCATGCGATGCACGGCATCCAGGCCCTTCCCGCGACCTTTACCAGATCGTCGGTCCACCTAGTAGGAGGCCTGCCCACGCTACTTTAAAGGTTTACGTCATTTATTATCCTTATAATATTTTCATTTTCTTCATCAGATTGCGGGCTCCCCAGCAGACTTAGACGGGCGCCTTCAACGCGGAGACTTCTTACTATCAGTGGACGGCAAGGACCTCTCAGCAGCAGACTACATCACCGTTGCCACCACCCTCAAACTGTGCGGGAACAAAACCGCCATCAAGGTGAAGAGGTTCAAAGTCATCGCTCGATAATAGGCTGGCGGTTATCGCTACTCGGCGATAGATGGCGCTATTCGCTATGTAAATGACGCTACTGAAGCAATGAAAACCCCTGTGGGTCTAGACAAAGTGCAAATTATAATCGCAAACCAGTCGAAAAGTGGTCGAAAAGCCCCTTTTTTGTATGGAGTTATGACGGATTCGATTTTCGATTCGATCAAAAGTGCGTTTTGTCTAGGGGGGCGGATATAGTTCCAAAATACTGAACTGTCCTATCCATGACATTGACAGCGGGGCGCCATCGTCAATACCGGATCGCTGGTTTCGATTTTTGCCATGTTGGAAACCATATAGTTGAACGATGGTAGCGCCCCCCTGTCATTGAGTTTGGTGGGACAGTTCAGCGTGGGTCATCTATAGTAACTGATGCCGTTATAGCCAATTATAGCTTGACTCAAGATAAGATCAAGTCAAGACACAAAGTTTTAATAGTCTTTGGGTTTTATTCAACTCATAAAGTGAAAAATTAATATAACTAGCGCCATCTATCTCTCATAGCGTTTCAGTTACAAGTGTTCGAGCTTGGTGGGAAGACTGAATAGATTTTATAGAATCTAGGATATTAGAAGGTCTCTCCTCAGGTCTAAAATAATTTATTTCTAAGTAAATCTATCCTTTTTCTCTCCAAACTCGAACCCTTTGCAACGATTTTAGTGTAATTTTAGTTTAAACTAAATTTTTATAAATGCAGGCCAAAATTTTACTATTCCTAACTTATCCTTGTCCTCGTCAGCTTTCGCAAGATACATAAGTAAAGTGAAGAGACAATAAGTATTTGAAGTTCTTTAACAGAAACACATTTGTAATTTAAAAACTAAAAATAGTTTTCAACTAAAAATATGAAACTTTTATGAGTGCATTTTCGTATTTAAACTTTCGATTTTTGAAAAATAAAAAAGTATCCCTGTAATTAAAACTAATTACGTAATGCTATGGCCAGTAAATACAATGTAATTAATATTTTTTGGAGTTAATGTTAACTAAATTATTTTATAGAAATTAATATAACCAAGGTATGGATTCAATTATTTAGTAAATTCTAGGCATTTTAAGTCGTGGTATTGTCAAAAATAGCTGCAGGATGGAAGAAAATTTGTAATAACGGTGCTAGTATCTGATTACATACCTCTTGAGGCCGTCAGTGATTAAATTAATTATTATTATTTTGATCAAATTATAATAAACTAAATTATATACGACGCTTTCAATATTTTTGGCGCTATAATAGTATTTGAATCTACAATTAACCACCAATGTGGTTATTCATACGTTCGTGCCAGTTTTCTTACACCCTGTAATTACTTTTATTTTGTAATGAGATTCAGTATTGTAAGATATAAGATCTGGATTACTTGTAGTTATCGTTAATTTAAAGCTAGGCCGGAATGACCCTTTGGTTGTAGTCTAAGCAGAGGTTATTTCAGTATTCTAGATTTCACACAGATTTAGTTAACTATAAAGTAGTTTTCACTTAATGTGCCGTAATATTTTAATGAGACCCTTCTAGTCGTTAACCTGTATATCGTTGTCTTTTCTATAAAAATGCCTTTTAAATTAACAAAAATAGTATTTAGGCTTCTACTCTAGTTATTAACATACTGCTAGTAAGCTAGTGAAAACAAAATTAGAAGAATAAATTAATAATTATAACAAAACGGTATGTAAGGGACTGGTTGACAAAAATCTAAATATACCTAATATTTTAGATCTCTGAATTATTTATTTACTTACTTATTATTCTATTTTTCTTGATTTACACGAGTTCGTTCGTCAGTATACCTATTAGAGCAAAAAATCATAATTGTTTTCAGCGTAACATTTTCACAAACATTGTTGTGTACCCACGTATTTTTTAAGAGTGCTTAACTATTATTATTTACCGGCAAGAATTTCCGGGGTTTTTGAACCCAGAAATGGACTGAATTTGATTCTGCCAAAATCGATCCCTTTCACACCGTAAAACATTTAACTATGGTGTAATAACGAAGTACTTTGTACTGAGTATTCATAGAGAAAATGCCTATTGTTTTATTCCTATGGTTTCAGGAGATATAAATTCTCATAGGCTGTTTAGTAAATTCATAGATAACACTTCTTGATTGTTAGAAACATACCTATTTGTCAAAATTATATTAGCAATTTTGTTTCAGATAAAATTAGGAAATTTTATTCTGTTGTTTTACCTTACAAGTTATCTGTGATTTATCAAACAGTCAAAATTAAGTAAATTTTTATAACATCTCGTAAATAAAATGCCAATTCCTATAAAATATTTATAATATTGCATTTAAAACGGATGGATTGCGTAGCATAATTCTAAATCATTGTAAAGTGTACAAAGTGTGGTTTCTCCTTGTATTTTAAACATATTAGAATTAATGTAGGATTAGCGACAGATTTTCCGAGGTTTTTAAAATCTACATGGCCTGAACTAAAAAAATACCACTACATAACGTATTTCGGATTTATTAATATACAAAGTTCTATAGAGTTTTGCTGTGTTTATTTTAAATGAAGGTATACTATAATATTATTAATAATTGACAGCTTTTGGTGTGTTTTATTTAATAAAGTAAATAGAAAAAAAAACATAAACTGAGTCTTATTAAAACTTTGGTGCCATATAGAAAAGAATAATATGCCGTGGAAACTGATGTATAAATGGTGGAATTTGCCGGTTATAATGTAATTACATCTATATTAGATTAATAATTTATAGTTTTAGTCGATAAATAATATTGTGATCACCTACCCTCTTGTAACTAAAATATTATTAAAATAAAAATATTTAGTCGTTTAAATTATTACGTTGTTTCAATTTTATTTTAAAAGTGATTAAATATCTATTAAAGTTAGGAATTTTAAGTTTTGTTTTAAGCACTACTGATTAAATAGTTTTTTTAGTATACACTCTTTGTCAATATTAGCTTTTAGCTCTAGATTTATTTTCCTAATTAATTCTAGAGAAATAATGAATTACGGAAAGCACTATTATAAATTTCAGATTATCTAGTGAATAATATTTAGTCCAAAGAACAGTCTTATATTATACAGTTGGATTTTAAAGTTTTACCTATTGTGTACTAGGAAGTGTATAAAATAGTGATCCAGTAATAAACTGTGCGCTTTTTTAAATAAATTTGTCTTTTATTTTGATTGTCTATAATAAGGCAACTTTTAATGATCAACATTTTTATTGTTTTTCCTACTAATTCTAAACTTAGATTGAAGTATGACAAAACAATTCATTCATTTTGATTGCGTATTAAGAGAATACACCATGCAAAATAATAAGTTTTTCAAATTAAGTAATAACATTTTTAATTACAATACTTTATGATGTAATCAAAATATTTTGTTAACTAAATAATGAAAATGTTCGAATCGACAGATCTATTACGACTTAAATAAGTTATTATTAAGTAAATTTGGCGAAAGTGAAGTTACCTATTACTAACAATTGATGTTTANACTAACAATTGACTAGAATATTTACAACAATATTGTGAAATTAATACTTTTTGTTACATTGCATCAAGATTATTGCTGCAACTTATTATTACAATTAACTTAATTACAATCACATTCATGTAGGTACGATATCTTGAGCAATAAATACTGATAATATTTTATAAGGGATAATAATATTTCAAATTAATATAAGTAAAGGTAGGTAATTAGATTACATCTCAACCACAAACATCTTAAGAGTTTTATTTAATTAATAGAGATTGATCGTTATTTTACTTTGTTCGTCTTTGTGTGCCTAAAAGAACATTTAAATAACATGCAAATCAATAGTTCATGTAACACACCTAATAAAAACTTGTTTTAGACTCTACTTATTACCAATAAGGCTCTGACAATATTTTATTCATTTAGTTAAACATACACAAGAATTATTGGTATTCAAGCCAAAACATTCAATTATAATGTAACGTGCGTGTTTGTATTATAGATAATCATAAGAACCCTCAGGCAATCAATGCCAATCTTGTTTTTTCAATTACAGGAACTGAACACACATTTTCACATTATGTCATTCACACGAGATCAATATTATAAATTATAGTTTACGTATAGTATCGTAATTATTAAGTAGAAGAAAGACTTAAACTAACTTAAAGGTGGATATTTTTGGCCAATGAATTAAATAACTCCTATAGTTTTTCTTCAGAGCTCTTTCTAATCACTAAAGGCTTCAACCTGCCTCTTAACTTTACGAGTCTCTTACTAACTTTGCCACTAGAAGCCGGATTCCTCAAGTCGGGCATGGACTTGCTCTCATGAACGGGAATATTTTCTGTAGACTTCGCCACAGTTCCATAATACCTCGGCATACTGAAGTCATTTTCTTGGAACATCATTTCTGTTTTCTTCTTAATGCTTTGTAAACTTGTATCACCTTTGTATTCTGGAATCGCTGGACTGTCCGCAAAGAATCTTGGTAGATTCGTACTTTTAATTATAGGGGTATCTGGAAGACTGCTCAGTCTTACTTCAGCATCACCCGCTGCCGTTACTCCTACCATTGATTTGGATTTTATCAACGGAGGTTTCTCTGGTGCTAAATGCTGTGGAATGTTCAGGAAAGATGCACTTCTATGAGGCACTCTGGCTAGTACTTTGTTGATTTTGGTAGGATCTATACTCTTAAGACTTTCGACTCTGTTTAACATTGGCTTAGACAATCTGCTGCCACTGTCCACCCTTTCAAGTGTCTTTGCACTGTTGCTTCTTAAAATACCCTTAACACTTTCCACTCGAGGTAAACTTAACGTTGAAGGTAAAGCGACAACCGAAATTGGATCGTATTTGTAAATAGGGTTTTGCGTTGTTATTTTCGTTTCGTCTTTCATTGTAACGGTACTAGGTTTAACTACATCTTGTTTCCTAACAGCAACAACGTTCATAGTCAATCCTTCTTCAGTGTCTTGGCTCTTTCTGTCACTTTCTTCTTCTTCGTCAATTTTGAACATGTCATAGTTTGTCATGAGCTCATCTTTGAACATGATTTCGAAGTCTGTCACCGGCGAATTCACCTCGTCTTCAAAGTACACTTTGGTCCTGTTTGGTTTGTCTGATAAATAGTCAGGTTCTGATTTAGTTTCTATGTCATCCAACGAATCATTGCTGCCTTTGGACTTCAACTCGTGTTCATCTCTAAATATTAATGACTTAGAGAATACCTGTAACAAAACAAAAGGTATTTAATTAAATAATAATACTTATTTGAACATTTTATATGACATCTAAGCAAAGCAACAATCTTATATTATACAAACCAGAATAATACAACAAACTGAAAAAGTATTGGACATGTTTCATTTACTTTGCACCTACTTCTGCAAACAAAGATTTTCTTTTCCTTTACCGATATAAATTTTCTAAATACTTTTAATTGTTTCAAAATCATTGAACTTAGGAATTTGCCAATTTGCCCAAATTATGTTATCAGCGTCAATACGGGCTCTAATAATGTAGATAGGAAGAACCGCAGACAGGAAGTTAACTAATTACTCGTAGTTATCTATCAACAACAAGTATTCCTTATGTGGGTAAATTACAAACAATACACCACACTTTTGTTGAAGACGGTGTTTAACTTTCTCAATCACTAATGTGAAAACTCTTGTAACATGTCAGACAGCTCCAATGGCTCTTTATGAACCAACCCTTCTCTATTTCTCTGTCTGTCTGCAACCTTTCAAGCTTAAACTATTTAACTAATTTAGCTGAAAAGGGATGTAGATGTAGATAATACTCCTTGAAAAGCATGAGTAGATTTATCTCAGTTTTTGAAAGGATATACGCGCGTGTAATAGAATTTTTAAAAGGATTTATTATGCAGGAAAAAACTAGTTAGCACCTAATACGACGATTCTGGCAGTTAAAATGAACAATAATAAAATTCCTACCTCATAAAGTTTGTCAGCATGCAGCGGTAACTCGTTGATCTCCCTCCCGGTGATGGCTTCAGGCGGCAGGTGGTTGTTGTTCATAGGCTGCGCCGTCACCACATTGTCTAAGGACGCGCCCATGTTGGCATAGCCGTTTGTGTACGCTGGAGGCACGTCTTCTAGTCTGGAATGGGTAAAAACGTTTTATTAGCAAACATTTTTTAATAGAATAGAATTTGTAAAGGAAAGGAAAAAAAACCTGTAATAACTCGTATTTTTTTATGAATTGAGTAGTGCATTTAGACAGACAGAAAATCTTTTTAATTTGTTGAAAGAAAGAAAATATTTATTTGATGTAAGTATTTAAAGCATTACAACTATTGCTATTGTTGGCCATATAATGATTACGTTAGCTCCTAAAGTTAAATATAAGAGTTAATAAACCTCCAACCATTAGCTATCTCTATTATTTTACTAACACATGAACAAATCTGGTCCACGAACGAATCCCTGAATATCTTAATCGTGTAATTAAATTTTGAAAAGACACATTTATTACTACTTTATCTTAGCAATCCTAAACTGACAGTTTATTATCAGACAGTATAATCTAATCTAAACGAAGTAAACACTCGTGTAAACACCTTATTATTAAAAGATGAAGGCTGGAAACTAAAATAATCTCGAAACAAAGATAATATTGCCATTGTGATACTCCGATAATAGAACTGCATCGTGATCTGTGGATTATTTCAATGGGTCCAAGTGCAAATACAGAGTGTTAGTTAATGTTCTGCTACAGCCCTGTTTTCTAAATAACATTTTAAAATATTGAACTTCTGTCACGGCGACGGTGTTCTTGGTTCTTTTTAACACAATCATCATAATAAAAGCGCTTTCAATAAGCCAATGCCAGGCCTCTTGGGTAAATTACGTTGAAAATAGAAAATGAGTTTTTGCAGAATTGCTAAAATCAAGTGGCAGTGGGCGGGGCACATACTCGTAGCTCGTAGAGACGATGGCCGTTGGGGCAGGAAAGTTCTCGAGTGGCGACCACGGGCGTGGAACACGTAGCGTGGGCAGGCCTCCTACTAGGTGGACCGACGATCTGGTAAAGGTCGCGGGAAGAGCCTGGATGCGGGCAGCGCAGGACCGTTCATTGAGGAAAATCTTGGGGGAGGCCTTTGTCCAGCAGTGGACGTCATTTGGCTGAGACGAGAAAATGAGTAAGTATACTTACTTGTAAGTTGCTATCTTCTTATCGAAGCAAAACCTTTCTTCACAGCAATTCCAGTACATAGTTTCCAGGCAGCTGGAAATTAAATACAAAACACATAAAAACATTTTACTTAAATTTTGTGAAAAAAAAACAAATCGTCTAAGAAATAAGTGACAATTTCTGTATCACTGACACTTACATTTAAGTACATTAAAACTTGTAATCAAATTTTACAAAACGTGTAATTAGTTTTTAGAATGTAATCACTTTTGCAATTTCCGCCACCTTCACCCGTAAGGATCGTGCTCGCTATGACGGCGTCACAAATTTCCCGCTTCTGTTTGCGTTGTCACTAACTCACTATCTTGACGTCCCGTCATAGTTATCGTGATCGAGGCGGGAAAATAACTATTGCCAAGTGGACAGCATGATTACAGTTTTAAGGAAAAAAGATTTTGATAATAACACCATATTTGGAACACTTGTTACATCATAAAGTAGGAATGCAGAATTCGATCTGTGAATTTTTTTTTCACTTAAGATTAAGATCCTTCTTCAAAGTGAATTTGCAGTTTTGAGGACTTTATAGAAGATAAAAAACGTCTATCAGTAATCAATATTAAAGTTTCAGATTGCTAAATAATAATATCTGATGTAGCAATGAGGGGATGACTTGTAAGGCAATGGGTAATAATTGAAAGAACAAACAAATACGATTTTCTTGATGTGTTTTGTGTCGCTGAATAAAACATTTAATTTATAAACACTACTTCCTTAGGCTGGTTTACACGTATTAAGTTACATGCAGGTGCAATTTAATCACTTAGAATTAAGTTAAAAGGACAATGACCAAAAATGTATGGAGTGTGGTCCAAATGTCCACCACTAACGAGACCTATGTAGTAAGATAGTCTACTAAATACTGATTCATTATAACCAAACCGCAATCAAAAATATGCTGTCAGTAAAAAGTTATGACTGATTAAAAAGTCTGTTTTTTACCTTTTCACCCGAAAAATGTTCTTGATATTATTCTATCCATTGCACATTTTGGACTAATCTACGCATGTTATGTCATGTCGCATGTGGCGCGGGGTTATAGATGAATTTTATTAAATATTATACTATTTGTACTAGCTGTGCCTACGACTTCGTACGCGTAAAAATAGTAACTTAATAATATTTCCCATTTTTACAACATATGTCTTTACTGCTCCGCCCCTATTGGTTGTAGGGTGATGTTATTTATAGTAAAACCATCCTTGATAAATGGGCTATCCATAACAAAAATATTTTTTTAAATCGGACCAGTAGTTCCTGAGATTAGCGTGTAAACTACTACAATTTTTCAAACAGTCATAACTTTTTACTGACAGCTTATTTTTTTTTCGTCCCATACTGAAAGTTAATCTCTATTTAATGGACTATAAGCCAATATAGGTCTCATTAGTGGTGGACATTTGGACCACTTTTGGTCATTGTCCTTTAGCTATTTTGTATTAATCAAATTATTCTTGAAGAAAATGGAAATCACAATGTACTTACTACTGGCACGATTTGCACAATGTTAGCAACATTTTGATGTTGTCTATTGATCACATCTCGTCCAAAAATCCAATTGTTTGGTTTTGTCACGTCTCCGGGGATGGCAGCATCTGTAATGAAGAAAATGGATGGTTAAAAACTGAATATGTTATGAAATTAACCTGAAAACTCGATATAAACGTGATTAGTTCAATTTCTAACACTTGTCAGAAGTTTCTTCTATTCAATTAAACATAGACTACCATTTCGAATCGAGCTTCTTGTAAATGCTCTGAGCGCACTTTGAATCTATTAATATTCGCGATCGTAGTTTGTTTTGCCGATTTTTTTTTGTTTTATCCCTGATTTATATTAGACTCAAAATAAAATAAATTTATATCATAATATAATATTGTTCCGTAAGTCATACTTTAAGAAGAACATTCACTCAAAGCCAAGCCTTGAACTTGATTTAAATTGGAGCAATTTAATGAGTATTATTGTAGCAACGAATGTGATTTCTAACTACGGTACCATTGACATAATACCCTTATTCTTAACATTTTAACCATTATCTCCGTGTGACCTCTCCATCTTGCCCAGCCCTTGCATATGGACCAAACAGAACAGACTCTTCACTTGATCGAAATGTACGTACCTATGTAATATGTATGTATGTATGTATGTGATTGAAATTGCCATAGAAGTCGTCGATTCTCTCAAGCATTTATTTTTGTAAAATTATAGACTCGGGTGGACCAAGGGGTCATAAGGGTTGAATAGGGGCCTAGCTTTAGGGCAGATTTTTCGATCGTTGGATAACTTTTAACTGTAGAATAAGTTTGGCACATTGACAGTTTCAGTATGGGAAATATGTCAAAATGACAAGGTTAATCTTCAGCTTGACGATTGAAAAATCAGCCCATAACCGAATAAGTTATAGGTATGTAACAAAATGACAATTAATTTTCATCGCGCATTTATTGGCACCGTTTACTCACAATGGTTTATTAAATGCCATAAAAACAAGAAATCATGTTGTATTTTTGATCAAATTTGCAAAGTTTTAACTAAACTAGGGCATCAAAACCAATTTTTTATGAGTCGTGTTTATTTAAAACTAGCTGACCCGGCGAACTTTGTTCCGCCTTAATGGCAATAAATAAGCAGACTTTTTTTTTATTTCGAACGGGATAAAAAGTATCCTATGTCCTTCTCCTGGCTCTAAACTACCTCCCTGACAATTTTCAGCTAAATCGGTTCAGCCGTTCTTGAGTTATAAGTGGAGTAACTAACACGACTTTCTTTTATATATATAGAAGTGACTTGTTGGTTCTGTGTGTGCTATAAAGATTTAAGGCCTCGTTCGAGAGTAAGGCTGTGCTGAGTCCTCATTACCATACAATGGCTTTAAAGTGTTACAGTTTAGCTCAACACCTAAACTGGGGCGAATCGGCATGCTCTCGAAAATCAAATTAGTCCAGTCAATAAAGCATTATAGATGGAAAACCATGGAACACAATTTTTGACTTCGGGACTTTATTTAGACTTGTCAGGAGGTGAACATAGCAAAAGTCCCCGCCCTTAGCCCTTGAGCCGGCGGGGAGAGGGGGGTTTAAAGATACCACTTTTCGGTTTTTCGCTTAATCCTCGGAAACTATGCGTCCTAGTGGCATGGCTACTATGAACCAAAAAAAGCTTATTCAATTTGCTACAAGTGAGATAGTCAAGTTTTTATATATCTTGTATAGTTTTCGCGGCATCTGCTTTAGAAGGTCTGTAATATTGGAAATTTTAATTTTGTCTTACATGTTCCCATCAGGAGAAAATCGACTAAATCAACATTAAGCAAACATTTTGGACATGCGGGAGCATGTTAAGCCTAGTTCCAGGGAGGGGACTGCACTGTGCGTATATTTAGATGAATCAATTGGAGCCACTTTTGACTCCTCATCACTCAAAAACTACTGTGCGTTAACACTTCAAATTTGGCTCATGTGTTCAGACTTGCAAGATAAACATCAGCTTCCAATTTCATAAATATACCTCAAACGGTTATTTAGGTATTGACGTCCAAAAATCTACATGTCTGACCTATAGACGAAATTCTAACCACTTCCAGATGACCTTGAAGGTTCAAATTTGGCATCCAGATAGGTAGATGTGTAAATACAAAGGAAAAATAAAAAACCATTAAATTTTAACATTTCACAGGTGATAGATAGATTTTAGTGTCCTAAATATCGATTTTTGAACGTCAATACCTAAATAACCGTTTGAGGTATATTTATGAAATTGGAAGCTGATGTTTATCTTGCAAGTCTGAACACATGAGCCAAATTTGAAATGTTAACGCACAGTAGTTTTTGAGTGATGAGGAGTCAAAAGTGGCTCCAATTGGTTCGTCTAAATATACACACGATGCAGTCCTCTCCCTGGAACTAGGCTTAACATGCTTCCGCATGTCTATAATGTTTGCTCAATGTTGATTTAGTTGATTTTCTCCTGATGGGGAAATGTAAGACAAAATTAAAACTTTCAATATTACAGACCTTCTAGAGCAGATACCGCGAAAACTATACAAGATATAGAAAAACTTGACAGTCTCACCTGTAGCAAATTGAATAATCTTTTTTTGGTTCATAGTAGCCATGTCACTAGGACGCATAGTTTCCGAGGATTAAGCGAAAAACCGAAAAGTGGTACCTTTAAACCCCCCTCTTCCCGCCGGCTCAAGGGCTAAGGGCGGGGACTTTTGCTATGTTCACCTCCTAACTAGTCTAAATAAAGTCCCGAGGTCAGAAATTGTGTTCCAGGGATTTCTCTCTACACCGTCGTTAAAGCATTCATTGACTGGACTAAATGTCAAGGGTTATCTTGATTTATTGGATTTATGATTTTTTAAATATCTTTAAGTACTATTGGCCCCGTATAAAAATTAGTACGCTAACGAAGGATTAGACCAGATAGTCGTAAAATAATCCAGAACGATAGGTATTGAACCTGGAACCTGTTTGTTTTCTTATGATGACATTTATATTGTGCAGCGCCCCTAGCGGTTACTTTCAAGAAATAAAATCTTCATAGATTTTTCTGACATACTCGCTAGCGAGTACATCTAACGTAAACTCATGGTAAGCACACATGCTATCGGTAAAACGTTTTTCGCATGTTTTTCTGTGCTTAAATAAATATTTATTCAGCCGATTGTTTATTGATACAGATAATTTTATAGATACAAAATCAAGTCAAATAAACATTTAGAGCATCCTGTACATAAACACACGTAGTATTTGTAGACTTGTAAATAGGAGCAGGGACTTTCAAATGCAAACAGTAGAGTACGTCAACAATCAACATTGTGTCACAAAATATAACAGAAGGTAAACTCATGTATGTACCTCGCTTTGCATGCCTGCGCTCGGCCGTCGCGCTAGGGTTGTCTTGTCATGATGTGTTGCGCTTATTTCGTTATGATAAAAAAATGTGACTCCTAATACTATGGAAGAAAGACAACAACAGATATCCACATTATATTAGTATAATTATGTAGTTATGTTTAGTACGTTATTATTAAAGTAATAGTTTGCAAACATATACACGAGAAGGAAGTAGTATCACGTAGTATGTAGTTGGGTGGTTGACACTATTATCCAATAATTCGTAAAACCTCTATAAAACATTTCGACATTCCTAATAATTGAGTTGGATTTCAATTTGTCAATGTTAAACGAATTATTGAATACAAATAAATACCTTACTTACCTCCCGGAATCAACTGCTAGTTTAAAAAACGAAAATTTAGTTTTTAATGTTGAGTGTAAGCAACCATCTACTTAACAAATGTTATAATACCCCATTTTTGTTGTCCACTCAATTTCGCACAAACAAAATAATTTCACAAACGCGTTAGCAGCGTCACTCAAGCGAAGGCAGTCGCGCCTCGCATTCGTCCAAGACAGTCTTGATAACGCGTACGTGAGCGGTGTCTATGTTTGCGTGACTCGAGCGCGCTTAGTATGGAGTTTACCTTCTGTTATATTTTGTGATTGTGTATTGATTGACTCATTACTAGACGCCATTCTGCTAATGAATAACGCGATGAAGGTAGTGCCTGGTGAAGGATTAAGTGTGTAAATGTTCAGCATAAAATATGTTTAGGAAAAGAAAAAGAAAATTTCAGATTTTCTTGATACCTATATCATTACCTACCAATCTGTTTTGTCTTTCAAGTGGTAACTATTATTTTTAAAGACTCAAAAAGATACCAGACCTGTGTGCCTACCATGAGTTTACGTTAGGTGTGTTCGCTAGCGACTGCGTAAAAAAATGACATTTAAATGTATGACATATTGTGCAGCGCCCCTAGTGGCTACTTTCAAGAAATAAGATCTTCATAGAATTTTTTGACGTATTCGCTAGCGAGCTCACCTAACGTAAACTCATGGTAGGCACACAGGTGGCTCAAATAGAAATAGAAGCCACTACCTTCCGGTTGCTGGGCGATTAATGTTACTTACAGGTTACACACATTGGTTGCTGATATTTTCAGGTGATATTTACAATGTGAGCAACCATGATTATTTAATTTTGTATAATTCTTGGTTTTATAATCAATCTAAAAACTAAAAATTTGCTGTTTTATGAAAGTCCCGTCTGAAAAATTACAATAAGGTCTTCCCGAAAGAAAGAACATTAAGTTTTATAAGAGCCTAAAATGAATGGGTATATGAACTTATTCAATGCCCTTAATCTGTCATTCCACATCATGATATGAGTAGGCGTTGCGGTTACCACTTCCTCCCATTGTTCCAAAGGATTACAAGATCTGACCTTTTGGATTAGATACTTGTAAATAAAAGTGGTACACGCATCACAATGTCACTTATGGCAGCTTATAAATAAAGTCATCAGTGTTGTGCCTGTGACCTTAATAATAATAATTGTCGTCTACCTACACGATAGAAGAAAAAAATAATTTTTATACCCCATATTTTGGGGCAGAAAAGTTCTCGAGTGGCGACCACGGGCTGGAAGACGTAGCGTGGGCCTCCTACTAGGTGGACTGACGATCTGGTAAGGGTAGCGGGATGAACCTGGATGCAGGCAGCGCAGGACCGTTCATTATGGAAAGCCTTGCGGGAAGGCCTTTGTCCAGTAGACTTCATTTGGCTGAAACGAACGGACGAAAGAACCCCATATTCTACGAAACCACACTACTATTTCTCTTGGACTAGGTGAAGTGACTAAGGGAGATATGTGAACATCAAGCCTCCGCGCCCTGTCTGGCTAAATCATCCATTTGCCGATATCTTATTTGGTCCTATATCAAAATATCCAAACAGATTAAAATAAAACTGCACCTATCTAGGTATAAATAAATAAAATCATAAGTAAATAAAGGATTTTTTTAGAATTAAGTGGGCTTATGTATTTACCCGATAACGTTACAATGATTTATGAGGTTATTGTATAAGGCATTAAATTTTATCTGTCTGTTTTGTAGTTAATTACTTAAATTTTAATTTCCTAAATAAATCTTTACTTGATTTCTTTGTTCGATTAAGAAATAATATTTAGTATTATATATGAGTTGAAAATACTTATTAAATACCAAAGGCGCGTAAAACTTTTTACTATAATAATATGTACTTAATTTTAATTAACAACTAACTAATGTCCGCGCCTATGTTAATTAGTTCAGTAATTAGGTTATTAACAAAAAAATAATAAGTGATCAAAAATTGTTTTTGTCATCAAAAACCAGAACATAAGTAATATGCATTTTTCAAAAGTTTTTTGAGTGATGATCTAGATCAAAGCACAGTCATGTTACTTTCTTTAAATATTATTTGTGATTGTTAGGTACTTGTTGTGTATGCCTAATAATAAATAAATAAATAAAAGTAGTACATACTACTAGCACAACTTTACCTCTTTAGAAGGTTCATAAGAGATGATTTCGCGGTTCGGGTATCGTGATAAAATAACAAATAAACAGACACATATAATAAGTAAGTATAGTCGACATCGACAGCACATCTGACATTTTAAAGCAAAATAGCCTGTATTACAACGCTATAAGACGCATCTGTCTTATATGTATATTGGTAAGCATAGATTTAAAGATTAGCACATACTTTCATGGATTAGCACGTCACTTGTTATAAACGCGTCACTTCAAAATACCAATGAGGAAACTTCATTCATACTTATCAAAATCGGAAATGACTTAAACGTGAATAAGAAAATAATATCTAGAAAGATTCATTTATCTGTACTTTTAGATTATTGTCAAATGAAATCGAAAATCTAAAATAATAATTATGTACTCAAAATATTAAAATAAAAACAACAAGTTTTATAACATCGTGTTCATAAAATGATTTCTTAATAATAACAGTGTGTTAATAGCATTTTTAAATGTAATCTATTATGATGTTAGACAAAATTAACAAGTTGTTCGTTGAATGTTATGATTCAATAATGTGCAATAATAGTAATAAATAAATACATTTACTTCGTGGATTAGTGTTAGGTAGATTAGTAATTAACCTTATTGGTAATTAGGGAAAACAAGTCATATTCATGAATTAATTACTTTAAGGAAAAACATTACTTACTTACTATTTATTTTTAATCCTTCTAGATTAAGAGATCAAGGCTGAATTGCACCACCTAACTTTGACGGTAACTATGACAATAACCGGTGCTTTTTGTATGGAGTTTCACAGATTTTTGACGTGTTTCAAAGTTAAAGTAAGATGGTGCAACCCAGCCTAAGATACGATCATTATTTTCTATTATAGGATTGTCAGTCTTTTCTTCACCATATTTTTATACTTTTTCTAATAAGTAATAATAACTAATTGTTATAACATTTTCCCCAATGGAAATACGAACCTGCTACAGCTCATAAATTAACCATCAAATTGTGAAGTTCGGTAATTATGGGTCAATCACTATCATCTGAGTCATTAATAACGTAATATCGACACATCATAATTCACATTACAACTAAATATACCAGTGTCAAACTAATGGCAATAAATAATATTAGAGTTAACTTGTAAATTATTTGAGTTTACAACACACAACTAGTAATAAAAATGTCTTACCAAAGCGCAATCAATGTCACACTGTTTTAAATTACTGCACCAATAATATATTTTCACAATGTAAAGGTTAGCACCTTAGTGTTACGCAGTGACTGAATGATAATGCGGTGATAAGGCATATAAATATGTTATCACTGACAGCTCGCTGATTATCCGCGAACCTATGAGAGGATGATAAAACGTCTTAGCATTGTTAGAATACAGAAATGTGTATTACCTACGTAATCTTAGTATACATATTTATATAAAACTAGCTGACCCGGCGAGCTTCGTACCGCCTTAGCGTAGAGATTTTCTTTATATTTTTTTCCGTAAAAACCTTGTAGGTACAGAGTATTAGAAAACTACAAAAAAAAAATCAGCCAAATCGGTCAAGCCGTTTTCATGTTATGTCGTGACGACGGAAAACGGATTTCATTTTTATATATATAGATTACGACTATTAAACATTATAAATAACATTAAAACTAGCTTTTTCCAGAGTTGATTCGGTTTGCCATAAAAAGATTGAAACGCGCGAGTTATGCCCTATCCGAGAGCTTTCGCGGAAAAATATATTTTATTTTCAATTACAATTACAATTAAACATTCAACTTAACCTTATAGCTCTAAGCCGGGCTCGATGCTCAGGCGCAGGGCTGCTTATTGCCAATAAATGCAAGCTCAGCTTATAGACGACATCATCGATCGTTCGTACAACCGTGGTACATAGAGCTCTAATAACAGAACTTAGAGCATTTTTCCGAAACTATCTTACCGAACGTGAAAACTCCGTTCACCTTTTTTGAAAGGTTTTTCGCTACTACTCTGGATTTCAAATTATTAGAACTTCATTTACATTTCTTCAGTGATCTTTAGCAAGAATATGGATGGTTATCATAAAAACACACACTGTTAGAGTAGGCGCACACCGTTGATTTTTAGTTGGCCGATAGTTGTGCTCGATTTTAATTTGTATGAAGAATCGGCCAAATCGAATCGGCGTAGTGTGCGCACTCCCATACAATACATGCCCATATTGATCAACTGCCCGACTAAACTATCGGCCGACGAAAAATCAACGGTGTGCGCCTACTCTTAAGGAAGGGCATGCATTATGACACAACTGAAAGTGTGGATAAAATAGCTATGTATGATATTAAATGCACTTTAATAAAAATAATGACTAATTAATTACCCAGATGTTATTATTTTCAAAGTCAAGAGACTTTAAAATAATTGCAATCAAATGATGACAAAAAAATCATTTAATGTCAAATAAATATGTAATACCATTTTTTAATGTTATCTTTTTATAAATTCAATGGCTACCCCGTTTGAATAAGTTACCGTCTTAATCTATTGGTTTCGCTACCCATCGGTTTAACATAAGTACATCAAAGTCTGGTTTTCTCCGTCGGCGGTGATTCAGATCGGTTTTCCCTGTTCTATTCATTTGAATGCCGGTAAACAAATTTTATTACACAATGTTATCATTGATATGATAGAAAATATTGTTATGTTACTCATATCTTGTAAAACTTAAGCCTAGGCGCAGATCATCGATTTTTTGTCGGCCAATACTTTAGTCGGGCAGTTGATCAGTATGGGCATGTATGGAAGGGCACACATTACACCGATTTGAATAAAAAAGCCGATTCTTCAAACAATTGAAAATCGGGCACAACTATCGGCCAACTAAAAATCGGTGGTCTGCGCCTAGTCTTAAAATAATTAAATATAAATAAATTAAATATCTTTGGACGACAATTCATTGTAATGTGTTATTGAACGCGAAAAAGTTTGGAAGTTACATACAAGTTACATAAAAGTTAGAATAAAAATATTTATTTAGAGCATTCTGAATATTAGGTCACCCTTCTAAGACAACGAAAAGATAAGTTATTATACTGATACGATTATTATATTATTATGCTCTAATTCATCGAAGATTCCAAAACAAACGGAAAAAATCCCCAAAACAATTATTTCCCCCGATAATACCTACCTGTGTAAAAACCAGCTTCTAATGAAATTGTTATTTTTGAGGATGAGGCAAAAAACCGCATAAAATCGTGAACGCTAAGAAGTGTGACTAATCTTTGATACTCGATCAAAAAGTATTTCTTTATTTTATAAGCACAATTTGTTAATATTTTTTGTTGTGTCTAATTATAAAAAACACTATTAGTTAATAAAATGTTTTGATACTTTTCCCTGTGATGAAAAGAGTCCGCGGTCTGTACTAGGTATTTATGTTGAAAAAGTACCACGCGTTTACTTCTAGCAGTAAAAACTTCATTGTTACGAGTAAGTACTTTTTGTCCCAAATTAAGGAAAATATTTATCGATTTAAAATCTACGATAGGTATTTCTTAGTGACAATGGAAAAACCTTATCAAACAAGAAAAGGAATATTTTACTTTTTTTACTCTATCGTCCTGATATTCCTATCATAATATTGTGATTATTATCATAAATGCGATAAAGTTTGTGAAGATGAATGGTAAATGGATGGATGAATGAATGTTTTTTACTTGTAAAATTGAATTAATTTTGAGGAAACTTAAAAAATTAAATGATAGTTTTTACATAAATCAGTAATAGGCTATTTAATTTCCATTTTATTGAAATGAAAGCGTTATTGATAGCACGAAAAAGAAAACATTATCCCTCGAAAACTTAACACATTACATTGAGTTCAAAACTACTCATCCAGCTATTAAATTAATTAGCAATTATACCTACAAAAGACTCATCCCAACACTGGAAAATAAATGAAAATCACAACAAAATTACGACAACTTTCTCTAAATAAACCGATCACAAATTCAAAACTAAAGGTAATGTACATACCAAAGATACAATCCAAAATTCGGCACTTCACAAACACTACACGGTACGCACCAAAATCGTCAATGATATCTTTTTAACGCAATCAATCAACGGTCGAAACGCGTGCGAGTAATAAAGCGGGTGCGTTGCACCTGCGCCCGCGACGAAGTGAAACTGAGCTACGTCTACGTGACTCGACTCGCTCGTGTGGCTCATTGAGGAGTGAGCGAGTGAGTTACAAGAGCTAGCGGGAGCGGTGGTGTGAGCTTTTTTTAAGCAATAGAAGGGACAAAGCTGCATCATTAGCAGCTTTTGGAGAAATTCGTATCTAGTGGTATTTTTCTTTAATTTTTTTTATAAATCTTTTAGTGAGATTTTCGACGGTTAAAAGAAATAAATACTTACTCGTTTTAATGGTAAAATTTATGTAAAAAGCAGTTCCTTTCGTACGATTAAAAGTAACATAAAGCTTCAAAATCTTAAACAAAATTAAATGTTAACAATTTTATTATTAGACTTGAGATAAAAGTTGTTACATTAGAGTAGGAACATAGGAATAAGTGCAATGATATGAAAAGAAAATACACCCAAAGGCATATCAGGTATAACATTAACATCATCTTTATATTCCCACGAAACAAGAGCGCCTTTTTCATTACAAATGAGCAAACTCTTTAGTCTTTAAAAATTAGTACACTCTAATCGCTTATGACTTGTAACTGATTCATAAATTGGGATGTATCGAGTGACGCACTCGTCTTAATTACTCCATAATGTGAGGAGGATACCAACAGTTGCTTCCAGAATGCAGTGCTCATGTCGCAATATAGATCATGACAGATGACGAAACATACCAATTGATATGTTTGTCTTTCTTTAGAATGTGTTTATACGTACCCCGTGTTCCATCGAGGACAAGTAATTAAGTTAACGTGATACAATTAAGAGAACTTTGAATATGTAACCTTAATACATAATTAATTAATAATTATCACCAACACTGTGATAGAATTAACATACTCCTACGGTCATGCAGCTGGTCATTATGCAACTTAATTTTCTTTTCTAATAATTTTTAATGATTAATTCCTATCTACAGGAAGGTTGAGTTGCACCATCGTAGGTACTTTGACTTTAACAAACGTCAAAAATATATCAAACTCTACACAAACATTACCAGTTATAGTTATTGTTACTCTTAAACCTGTTAAAGTAAGATGGTGCAATCCAGCCTAAATATATTTGTAATTCATCAACATGATTTTCGTTTAATATTGATTCATTTCAATGTAAAATGTTCCTGTAAATTATTGCGTAATTCAGTCGTATTCTCGTATTAGTCATTTAAATCATTCCTGATGTACATTGTATGTCCAGTTTTTACTGTATACAAAATGTATTATCACTATTGTGATTGGAAAAACGATTGAAACTTTCAGAAAACGGTAAAGCTTTTGTTTTAGGACAAAGCCCAAAGCTCTCCCGCTAAACGATGACGCATGTAATGACGTATTTGATAATGAATTTGTCCCAACACGGTGAAACTTACTTCATTAAGTCGACGGTTTTATCCAAAACCGGTAAAAAATGTATTTTATAATTAAGGTGTTTTATAATTAAGTTTCATTTAACATTTTATTTCTTTTTACCTTCAACTTTCCACGTAGTAAGCAGCTTAGTCGAAGGAACAATAAAAATTACCGAATAAATTATTATAATGACGAAAATACTACTGCTGACAACAAAATAGCACACCGATTTATTTTTAGTATTAGAAAATGTTGCACTCTTTCAAAAATGGTAAAATGATTAGCAAAATTGAATGCATTATTTAAATTATAACAAAAATCCAAATTGGAAAACAATTTTATTAAATGCGTTTTTACACGCGTAAAGGTTCAGTCAAACCAACGCGATCAGCCAGCGTGCAGCGATGGCGATCAGACTTAAATGCATTGACTGCCATCACTGCACGCCGGCTGATCGCGTGTGATCGCGTTGGTTTGGCTGAACCTTAATACTGTGCCTGGCTTTAACTTTAAGTACGACAGCAGTTAATTTCTGTATTACACGTAAGTACTCTCTCGTCGATTAATATTCAATTCGTACATAAATCTCCTTTGATAGTGCCAGGTACTTGTTGGCACTGACAAGTGGACATAAAATTGAAAAGGCAATAAATAAATATGAATCATGTACGTCCGCTCGAAGGGACTAAACCACATTGTGGTTAGCTGATCGTGAATCATAAAGGTAAAGTTATTAAACAAAGGATTATTTTACT